ATTAATCGTTCGTCCCCGACCCCCTCATCGATTCCTCAGCTCGGCCCGCCATGGGCTCGACTACAGACCCTTGGTGATTCGTCCGAGGACTGGACTATTCCTCGTTCAAGGCGGGTGGCCGAACTCGGAATCCCCTACCATTCGCCCTTGACCCCCTCATCAAGTCCTCGACTCGGCCCACTATGGGCTCGGCTATAGGCCCTTGGTGATTCGTTCGAGGACAAGACCACACCTCGTTCCAGGCCAGCGGACGAACTCGGAATCCCCAACCATTCGCCCCCAAACCCTCATCAAGTCCCCAGCTCGGCCCACCATGGGCTCGGCTACAAGCCTTTGGTGATTCATTCGAGGACTTGACCACTCCTCATTCCAGGTCGGTGGTCGAACTCGGAATCCCTAACCATTTGCCCTTGACCCCTTCATCAAGTCCCCGGCTCGGCCCGCCATGGGCTTGGCTACACACCTTTGGTGATTCGTTCGAGGACTGAACCACTCCTTGTTCCAGGCCGACAATCGAACTCAGAATCCCCAACCATTCACCCCGACCCCCTCATCAAGTCCTCGACTCGGCTACAGACCCTTGGTGATTCGCTCGAGGACGGGAAGCCCCATTGGTGTACATTTCCCACCAGTTGTCAAAATCATTCTCATCTGGGGATTTCTCCTCGGTGCCCGCAGTGCATTCTACAATGAAATCAGCATGGGCTTGCCCTTTGATCGTCGGCCTGAGTTTGAATTCAACATTGTTCTCTCCGATAATAAGAAACCACTTGGTGATGCAACCATTGTCCATTGGGTTTCTTAGGATGGTGGCGAGCGGCTGCGTCGTATATATTGTCACATAATGGGCTTGGAAGCACGGCGCCAGGCGCTTTATCGCTGCTATGAGTGCCAAGATCATCTTCTCCAGAAGGCATCTCTTCTCTGGGCCATTTAGTGTCTTTCTCACAAGATATATAGGCCGTTGGACGCCCTCAGCTTTCTTCAGCAGCACTGAGCTCACCGCCAAGTCAGCCACGACTAGGTACATGTACAAATGCTCGTCTGGGTCCGCCTTTGTGAGGACGAGCGATGAGGAGAGATATATTTTGAAATCCTCAAGGGCTTGTTGGCATTCCGGGGTCCACTCGAACGGATTCGCCTTCTTCATGATCTGAAAGAAAGGGATTGCCTGTTCGGCCAGTTTTGACATTAAACGACTTAGGGCGTCCAGACAGACGATGAGCCTCTGTATGTCCTTCGGATTTCTTGGAGCTTCCATGTCCACGATGTCCTTTACCTTCTCCAGATTTGGCTCAATGTCTCGTTCACTCGTCATGTAGCCGAGGAATTTGTTGCCCTTGATGGCAAAGGCACACTTCTTGGGGTTAAGCCTCATATTGGCCTTCTCCATTATGCTGAACACCCTCTCCATGTCCTGAACATGGTCCTCCTTCTTCTTGTTTTTGATCAGGATACCATCCACGTAGGCCTCCATGATTATGTTGAGGACCTTCTTGAATAATATCCCGATCGTTCTCTGAAAGGTTTCCATTGCATTCCTCAGGCCGAACAACATGACTATATAACAGTACACGCCGTCCAACGTGACGAATATCTGATTATCATCCGGGTGCATGAATATCTAATTATAGCCCCAGAATGCGTCCATGATAAACAATAGATAAACAATTTGTACATTTTTTGTTCGTGTTTAACAATTTTGCATGGGCAAACAGACATTGAAAAAAAACTAGTGTCTGTATACACAGATGAAAATTCCGGCAAATGATCATCTATAGTTTGCGGCGAATGTTCATCTATGTTTTTTCGACGACTTTCTGGCGACTCTCAAACTTTTTATTTTCAAATCGATCCTAAAAATGATAATGGTAAAACTGGTGAGGTGATAGATATGGAAGATGATGAAGATGAGAGGTGATGCATATGGTGAGGTAGATGGAAATGGAAGATGATGGAGATAGTGAAGATGAAGATGAAGTGAGGAAAACGGAGAGAGGCAGAGAGGCGAAACCAAGGTACTGGGCCGGTACAAGAATATTTTTGAAAAAAGTTATACATATTTTTTACATTAAAATTATAAGGTATATTTTTTTTTTTATTTAGGGAGGGCCGGGACCTAGTTGGCGCCTAGCTCCGCCCCTGAAAATGGTGATAGTAGATGTGAATCTGGTTGAAAATGGGAGAAAAGGAAAGAAAACATAGACCAAACATGCATGATGTTTATCTATATGGAAATTTTTGTTTGTACCCACCCTCTTATACTCATCATTGTCTAAGACTATTTTTTGTTTGTTAATCCCGTTCACAGACAAAATATACATGTTTTTATCACAGACAAAAATATATTTGTTTTGTCTGTAAACGGGATTTACAGACAAAAAAATCTCACACAAAAGTGAGTACAAGGATGTGTTCTTTTGGTCTGAAATTTGTTGGTTCGGTCTGGTCTGATAAATGTATGGTCTCTGTGTATTTTATAACTATGGAAGTCTGGTCTGGTCTGAAACTGAAAGCAATCCAAAAGAAAAGATCCTAAGGAGTGAGTAAAAGTAGCAAAAGGTGGATCAGTGGATATAACTATGTAAGAGTCGGTAAGGCTAGCTGCAATCCATGGGCGAAAGAGTCATACATGAGCTTTTCACCCCAAGAAACTTTACAACCCATGTATTTAGAGGTGCCAATGTGAGTACATGGCCGACACCCCATGGTTGAGAATTAATTGGGTTTATTAACTCTGCTTTTTGTTGGGCATCGGGAACAGGGAAGGTGCAATTGGCATTGCATACAACAACAACAACATCCAAGGCTTAGTCCCAAAAGATATCAGAGTCGGCTAACATGAATCGATAACATTTTAGCCTTAGTCCCAAAAGGTATTGCATCAAAGGAAAAAACTGGGTCCCATAATATATATAAATCCCTATTTTTTTGTCTTATATGGAGTAACATTTTTATTTGTATCTCAATTTTTACAAAAATTATACCAAAATTCAAAATTTGTTATGATCTTTCATATGACATCAATATTAAATATATAAAATTTAGACAAAAAACATGAAATTTCATCTACTAGAGATTATCTAACCTATAATTTTTTCTTTCAAGTTTTAAAATTAAGCTCTCATGGTTAATTTGTTTATTACATAATTCATTTTTTTAAAAAAATAGGCCTAAAGAAACGACAACAACAAAATAAACTCCAAATTTATTTATTTTTACATGAAATTTTTTGTCTTTTTAAATCATAATTGTTTGCAAAAAAGAAGAATTAGAAAAAACTGATGGATACTAATAAAAGTAAGACTTTAATTAATAAGTTTGCAATTACTTCAACTTTAAAAAAGTGATTTTTTAAAATGATTTTGGGAAAAGTGATTAATAATAAAAGTTGGTAGTTTTTGAGAAAAAAGTGATTCTGGAAAAGTAAAAGTGGGTAGTGTTTGGTAAAATAAGTACTTTTTGTGTAATAGAAAAAGTGAGAAGCAGTTTAAAGCACTCTTCTACCTGCTTCCAGCTTTTAGCTTTTAAGTGATTAATTTAAGCAGAAGCTGTCATTTGAAAACACTTTTTTCAAATTTTTTAAGCCAAAAAGCTGAAAAGCGCTTTTTTTAACAAACCCAAACACTCCTTTATAAATTGGCGTGAAATTTGCAAAAATACTATCGTACAACCGGCTGTACCTAGGGCATGGTACAGCCGGGTTTTTTTGCAATTAGTTACAGATCTAGTGGCAAACCTTCTTCCATGTTGTGCTTGAACCATTGGGCTAGAAGGGATCTGCAGATTGTTCGGTGGAGACGATGGACGTGTTGCTCGCTAATCGTGTTGCTCGTTAATCGACGAAGGAGGTGCTCGCGGCCGGGAGAATCGCTGAGGTCGATGATGGAGAAGCCGATTTTAATCCTTCGTACGTTGGAGAGAAAGTGGGCATATAAAGTTCTCAAATAGTCAAACCCCACTATCACCTTTTTGAATGTATTTTTAAATTGTATTTTAATATTGTGTATTAATATTTTGAGTTTGTTAATTGCTAACATAAATTTTGTGTTATATTGGTAATGAGTAAAGTGTTTATAATAAATGTGCATAATGAATAAAAGAAATGAACTTACATAAATGATAATTTTGAGCACGTTGGGAAATTCAAACGAGCATACACAAATGCAAACTTGAGCATACTAGAGAATTCAAATGATGTACAGAAATGAAAAATTGAGCATATTAAAGATTCTAAATGAGTTTTTTGAATTTTTCGTAGGGAAATTCAAATGAGCATACACAAATGAAAACTTGAGCATACTAGAGAATAAAATGATGTACATAAATGAAAAATTGAGCATACTAGAGATTCTAAATGAAAAACACGAATTTTCGTTGCTCATTTGGTATTTATGCTCATTTGGTATTAATGTAATACGCATTTTAAAATGTCATATTCATATCAATGTTCATTTGCATGTTACGTATGCTCATTTGGTACTGATGTGCTCATTTTTAAAATGTCATAACAATGTACGTTTCAAAAGTATCATATTACATTAGATTCGCATATTAAAATTCATAAGAATTGATTATAGATATAATTTAATGAGTTTTTATAAAAGAAAAGGTAAGGAAAAAATGTTAATTACAATGTATGAAGTTGATATTACATCACTCATTATTTGCCTTTTAATGCTCAATACAATACATTTGATGCTCATTGAAAATGTATTAATGTTCATCTAACGAAAAACGAAATTTTCACTAAAATTACGAAAATGCCACTGTTTTTAGTTGTGATATCAGCTTTCTTGTACTAACATGGTGCTCATTATTGTACGCTTAATACTCATTAAAATTGGACTATTGCTCATTAACTGTACACCGATACTCATTTAGCAGAAACCACGATTTTTACATCAATTACAAAACTGCCACCGAATATTTTCCCTATTTTTCCGTTGAGCCTGTTATTGGACCGGCTGTACCGTGCTCAAGAGAGAGACGGTGGTACCATATACGAACTCTGAAATTTGATTCTCACATGTGAGTCCCAGAGCCCAGGTAGTTATTTCCTCTGTGCGACCATTTTCCTAAATAAATTCATTCTACTGTACTGATCTGTGATTCCCAGAGACCGGTCATCTATGAAGAACATCTTCAAGAAGAAGCCTCACCACCCCAACCGATCGAACGAGTCTCCTCAGCCTTCGTCTTCCTCTACCGTGCTCACCTCATCATCTTCCCCACCGTCTGCCCATCAGCGCGAATCTAGCACCTCTCAGCATCCGCAGAGTCCTTCGACTGCCTCATCTACTTCAGCTGCCGCCGCGCCAGTTGCCGCTGCAGGAGCGCCTGCTATCAATCCGCAACATGACTACTATGCCTCCGAAGAGGATTACCAGATACAGCTTGCCTTAGCACTCAGTGTTTCCTCATCCCACGCTGAGGAGCCTTCCTTTGACTCCGGCAAAGGTCAGATCCTCGGTGGAGGGAGATATAGTGCTGAATCTGCTCGTGATAGGGAGGAAGCTGCTGCTGACTTTCTGTCGAGTCACTATTGGGTGAGTACTAGATTTCATATCCTTAATTAGTAGAAATTCATTTCCACCCTGAAATTTATATTATAACAAGAAAAGATAATAAACAAACAGATATACTGCCTCCTCACCTCCGCATTGCTACACGTAACGAAACTTCCACATTGTTTCCTTTTTTTTGAAGTTTGTCAGTGATTGTTTGCTGGATGATATGCCTTGGTTATTTGTATCCCTAGCCATTTCTTTACAACGTCGTTTTTTTTATTCATTAGGATTACAGCATTCTTGACTATGAGGAAAAAGTTGTTGATGGTTTCTATGATGTATATAGCCTCTTCACAAGTCCTGCAAGTCGGGGGAAAATGCCGTCTCTTTCTGAACTTGAAACGAATGGTGGAAGTTCTGACTTTGAAGTTGTGATAGTGAATCAGAAAATTGACCCATCATTGGAGGAGCTTATACAGATTGCACATTGCATAGCATTAGATTCCCCCACAGATCAGATTGGTCTGCTAGTTCAGAGACTTGCTGAACTTGTAATAGAACAATTGGGTGGGCAGGTGAAGGATGCAAATATCATACTAACTAGATGGATGGAAAGAAGTATGGAATTGAGAACTTCTCTTCACACCAGTGTGCTGCCTATAGGATCCTTAAATATCGGGTTGTCACGTCATCGTGCGTTGCTGTTCAAGGTGAGTACTATACTTCCATTAAAGCTAGCGCTATTTCACTTTATTGGTGGACTCATTTTTGTATCATCAAAAGGTTCTGTGCAAGCATAGTTGTCATGGCGTCGCCATGGCGTCGCCTTATCGTCGCCAAATCGTCCAGGCGGTAAGAGAGGATCGACATATGCTGTCGACACGCCATAAACCTTGTGGCGTCGAAGTAGCGTCTTTGTGGCGTCGGTAAAACGCCATAGACGCCTAGTCGACGACTTATATGAACTGGACGCAGGACATAATTATTTGAAAAGGCCCAAAAACAAACCCAATTTTTTGAACCCATCAAAAAAAAAACCAGACCTATCTGCGCTCAATCCATCTCCCGTAGTCTAAACGCAGAGTCCCATCTGCGCTCAATCCATCTCCCGCAGTCCGCACGCTACTACTTCCCTTCCGTCTTCAATCGTCCGCAAGGTATTTCCGTCTTTAATGGCGAGCCTCTCTTAGTCGCTTCAATCGTCCGCAGCTTTACTTCTTCAGTTTATTTCTAGACTTTTAACTTTAGTGGGTATTTGATTCGTGTTTTTATTTTAATTATTAGACTTATTGCTCCAGTTGGGTACTTGGTTTAAAATCATCTAACTTCGTTAATTACGTGGGTTTAAAATCATCCAGTGAGTAGCTTTGTATTTAATGTTTTCAAAAAAAACTTTGTATTTAATATTTTTCAAAAAAAATTGTATTAAATATTTTGTTGAATGCTTTGAACTTAATGTTGTATTTAATGTTGTGATGAACTTTATAATGTTTTACAGAAAGTCAAAAAGCTTTTGAAAAGTCAGTATTGTATATTTGTGAAAACAAATTTCAGTTTTTCCCAAATAATGAATAAATTTCAGTAGTTTTTTTTTAAATTTTATATTTCCTAATTTTTTTCAGTGTCTTCAATTGAAGCTGAAATTTATGTTGTGTGACGGTGTTGTATTACATTTAATATATATATTTTTTAACATTAAATGTGAAATTTTTGTTATTTAGTTTTACATTTAATAAATTTTTTAAACAGTGCTTACCATGGCTGATCCGGAAACTTATGATCCATCAAAAGATCCAAGCAGAAAACCCAAATCGGATGATCCCGGATGGGAATTTGGTTTTTGGCCGGACAAGAATAACCGGGACTTGGTAGAATGCGCACTTTGTGGAAGACAAGTGCATTCCGGAGTTAAACGGTTGAAGCAACACTTAGTTGGCGGTTACGGGGATGTTGAAAAATGCACAAAGACAACTGCAGAAATAAGAACTAAGATAGGCAATTATATGAAGAGCAAAATGAAGAATAAAATGCAAGTGCCTGTTGAATAGGATGATGAAGATGATGAATTAGACGAGGATCCTGTGACACAAGTATCATCTCGTGCTTCTTCTATCCATCCAGTTCCTAGTTCTGGAACAGCCATAAAAAGGAAGCGTGTAGCGCAGTCCACTCTAAAATTTCAGCATTCACTACCAAAATCAGGTAAACCAACTAATTCTGTTGCTTCAATGATTAGAAAGTCACCTGAAGAAGTGATAGAAGAAAGGCATTCTCAGGGGAAGAGTCAACAGACTCTTGAGGGTTGTACTAGATCCAAAGAAGAGGTCAAGAAAGTTCATGGGCACATTGCTGATTTTTTCTATGAGAATGGCATACCGTTCAATGCTGCAAACTCAAGAAGCTATGAAATTATGATTGAGTCAATCGGGCAGTTTGGCCCCGGACTGAAACCTCCGAGTTATCATGAATTAAGGGTGCCTCTTCTGGAGGAAGTTGTGAAGGATACAGAAAAGTTGAAGGAGAAACATGAAATTGCTTGGAAGCAATATGGATGTACACTCATGTCGGATGGATGGTCCGATAAAAGGAGTCGACACTTGGTAAATTTTCTTGTTAATAGTCCAGAAGGGACTTTCTTCTTAGAGTCGATTGATGCTTCGCATGAGTCACAAGATGCAAGTCTGTTAGCATCATTGCTTGAGAAACAGATTCAAAAGATTGACAAAGAGAATGTCATTCAAGTAGTGACAGATAATGGAGCAAACTACAAAGCCGCTGGGAAGCTATTGGAGCAGCGTATACCCACACTTTCTTGGACTCCTTGTGCGGCTCACTGCCTAGATCTTATGATGGAGGATATTGGGAAACTCGTTGAGTTTAAGCCCTGGATTGATAGTGCAAGACGTTGCACCACTTTTATTTATAGGCACACAAGGATTCTAAGCGCAATGCGGGAGAGAACTGGTGGAAGAGATCTAGTGAGGGCTGGTGTTACACGGTTTGCCACAGCATTTCTCACTTTGCAAAGTTTGTGCAAGTATAGAGAACCTTTGAGGAACTTGTTTGTGAGTCAAGATTGGAATAATTCGAAGTTGTCAAGTACAGCAGTGGGGCAAAGGGTATGTGACACTATTCTTGCTACTAAATTTTGGAATGGGGTGGAGGATACCTTGAGAGCATGTCATCCACTTCTTGTTGTTCCAAGGATAGTTGATGGGGATGAGCACCCGACTATGCCTGAGCTTGCCATGGCTATGAGAGAAGCTAAGAAAAAAATAAATGAGTCGTTTGCAGGTAGGCCCAGAGTGTTGAAAAAGCTAATGAAGATTTTTGAGGATCATTGGGCAGATCAAATGGAAGTAAAGTTGTATGGGGCTGCTTTATTTCTCAACCCATCTAAGTATTTTGACTTGAAGAGGACTGATACTGCATATGCTTATGAGCAACGAGCGTTGTTCAATGATGTGGTTTACAAGATGATTGGTGATGATGAGTTGGAGTGCAAGATTAGCAAACAAGTTGATGATTATGATTTCTTGCGAGGAGGATTTGCAAAGCCATTGCCAATCAAACATAAAAAAACCAAGGCGCCTCGTAAGTCATACCTTGTTAGTTGTTACTAAAATAATAGTATTTATTTTAATTTTTTTTTACTTATAAAATATGAATTCTTAAAACACTTGTGATTTTTATTACTTATTAGTCGATTGGTGGAATGCTTTTGGTGGCCATGCTTTGGAGCTACAATCACTTGCATTACGCATAATAGGCCTTTGTTGTTCTTCTTCGGGTTGCGAACGCAATTGGAGTACGTTTGAATTTGTAAGTTACGCCATCCTTTTGAAGTCTATAGGTTTTTAACTACTTACTTCAAATGATAATAATTTTATTTATTTATTTATTTAGATCCACACCAAGAAAAGAAATAGGTTGGAGCATAAGAGACTGAATGATTTGGTGTTCATTCAGTACAATAGGAAGATTGTCAGCAGGTTCAAAAAGAGGCGTGAAGAAGGAAGTAGTTTCAACCCTTTGGTTTTAGAAGAGTTTTCTTGGGATAATGAGTGGGTTGATGATTCTGGTAGTCAAGTAGTTCACCATGGGGGTGATCTTTTATGGGATGAAGTTGATGAAGCTCTTGGTGCTTCAAGAAATCTAGATCGCCGTAATCCTAGGAGAGGTGATGGTGGTGAACCTTCAAGTTCAGTTAGAGTTTATTCTCGACGTCGTAATGATGATACAGATGTTGAAGAGAATGGTCAAGAGAGTGAACCATTTCCAAATGATAATTTAGACGTCGATGATGAGGATCAGGATGCCATGGATATCATTCATAACAACCAAGCTGACTCTAGATTTGACGATTTCCTTGATGATGTTTAAGTCTTTTTGTGTTGGATTATGTTATTGACTTATTTCTATTTTCTAGTTTTTGGATTATGGATAATGTTTGTGGTTGTTTTGATGAACTATAGGCTTATGGTTATGGTCATATGGATTATGTTATTTCTATGATTACATGTTTTATTACTTCATTTACTTCATTAGTATTGTTGGGTATAAGTGTTGCATGTAGGCTTTTTAGTATGTAAAACATATTATGAATTTATTAATGTATATGTCGACTTATCGCCGCGACTCCGCCACGACGGGCGCCATATCGCCATGGCGGTATGGCAGTCCAAAGGCGCCGCGCCGCAAAACCCCGCCGTAACAACTATGTGTGCAAGAGTATATATAAGAAAGTTTTGAACTACTGAACAAATTGTTGTTAATGCATGAATTGGGATGCTAGAAGCACACACGACCATTTATATACATATAGCGTATTTAAAGCGAACAACAAAAATATGATGGAGATATTTTATTAAATAGCCAGTTCAAGTTTTAGAGCCCGTTTGGTAACCTTGATTTTTGGCTTATCAGGCTTATCAGCCAACTTTTCCATCAAACATGTAACTTTTGATTTCGCGCGCTGAATTGTGTAATAATAAGAAAAAGTAAGGTTGGAGTTACTCTTCTGGCTGTATTGGCTGAAGTTACTGTAGTTACTGTAGAGGACTGTTTTAGCTTTTTTTTCATATAATTTTTTCTTTATTTTATTATTAAAATATATTTTAATTTTGTCTTCTTCACAAATCGGTCAATACAACCATTTCAGCCAGAACTTCATAAATTTCAGCAGAATTAGCCAATACAGCCGATTTGGGTATTACCAAATGGGCTCTTAATGCCAATTGTTCTATGTTGCTCCCCACATTTACATAGATTTCAAGTTTGGTCCTCAATGAGAAGTGACAACCAAATTCAGGCTGGTTCTTCGGTTAACTGTATCTGTGATTTATCCCCAAAGGTTAATGCATACAAACTGGTCCCATATTATGATAGATATCCTACAGTTTATATATATGAAGTAGAGAAAACAGAGAAAACCTTTGAATTCCTGAGGCGAATACAATGGCAGAAACCGTAGCCTAGCGTACAAGAAAGAGAAGAAACAGAAACAGAAAATACAAGTGAGACACTTCGAGTCGTCTCGCACTCCCAATTCCCAGTCCGATCCCAAAAGTCTGCCTACCCATTTTCCCCTTGACTGTGCTTATTATAATACACTCCTATTCGGCCGGCCCTCATCCACTAATTTATTGGGCCTAAAATTCTCTTATTATACACTGTTAAGCTACTTAACAAGAGAAGTGTCGGGTCCTGGTCATCGCTCTCCCCTTTAACTATCACCTTGTCCTCAAGGTGGGTAGTAAGAAACTGATCTGACATTAGGTTTCAGTGGGTTATCTGCTACGTCCAGTTCGGACTGCTGATCACTTGTTCCCTTCTCTTCTTCTAGCTCTTCCATCAACACAAATTGATAATGTTTCATTCCACAAACATGCTCTTTGCTCCATTTGTTTCCACATTTGAAGTATATGCCTTTTTTACTTCTTTCTGTTAACTCTGCTTGTGTCAACCTTTGGCCTCCCTCCCATGCATTATTCGGTTTTGGTGATTCCTCCAGCTTGTTCTCTGAATGTGCTCTCTCAAAGAGTCTGCTTGTTCTCTGAATGTGTTTTTTGAATAGGTGGTGTTCTTCCCTTTGCTGCCTCCACCCAGTTCAAACGCCTCGCCTGACCATAGTCCCTCTCTGTTCTTTCCATCACTTTTTGTCTTCTTCCTTATGTATCCCTGATCTCATAGCCGTGTTTATCTTTTCTAACAGCAGAGCTCGATCCATTAATTCAGATAGAGAAGCGGATAGATAAAGTTTCAGTTCAGCTCTCACCTCATCCTTCAAGCCATTCAGAAAAATTGCCTGCAGCATCTCTGTATCAGTGTGCCTCAGCGGTGTGACTACCACTTCAAATCTCCCCCTACAATCTATTGCACTTTCAGTTTGCTTGACGCTGAGCATAGTTCCAAATGGATTTTGAACTAGTTCCGGTTGGAACCATCTGATTAAGGCTGCTTTGAACTGTTTCCAGGTCCGTTCATCATTTTATCCCTCCCACCATTGGTACCGGAATAATGCTTTGTCCTCCATGGCAATGGTTACCAACTCAACCTTATCTTCTTCTAGTATGTTATTCAACTTGAAAAACCTTTCTACCCTGATGGTCCACCCATAAGCATCCTCGCCATTAAATAACGGAAGATCAATCCTCCTTCCAGTTCAAACGAACATTCTGTTCGCACTGGTTTCGCGCCGAAAAGAGATGGATCGCGAGGTATCAGATTTACCTCTGGAGTTCGACAAAGCTACAGAGCTATGAGACTTACCACTGGAGTGTGACCAACTCCTGTCCGACGGCAATTGCTTCTGCGAGTGTCGCGATCGCCCCCTGGACCGCCTATGACCTAGGTTGAGTAAGAGCTGATGCATCTTTGCATCTCCGATCGTATTCCATCCATATCCGCTCGCATCTCTTCTAGGTTCCATTCCACCTTGCCCACTCGATTTTCCATCTACATTCGTGTAACTGGCATCCACCGAACCCCAGGAATGGTGCTCCGATACCAATGATAGAGACCCTACAGTTTATGTGTATTAAGTAGGACAAAAGATAAAACCTCTGAATTCCTGAAGCAAATACAATGGCAGAAACCCTAGCCTAGCGTACAAGAAAGAGAAGAACCAGAAACAGAAAATACAAGTGAGACACTTTGAGTATTCTCACACCAGTTCCCAGTCTGATCCCAAAAGTCTGCCTACCCCTCATCCACTAATTTACTGGGCCTAAAACCCTCTTATTGTACGCTATTAAGCTACTTAATAAGAGAAGTGTTGGGCCCCCTATCATATTACAACCTGTTTTTCATTTTAAATGCTTTGCTTTCTTTTTTACCGCAGGTTTTGGCTGACCATGTTGGGATTCCTTGTAGACTAGTTAAAGGTTACACAGGTGTTGAGGATGATGCTATCAACATAATAAAGCTACCAAATGGGAGGTAGTTTGCAAATTACATGCTCAAGTTCCGAATTGCCAATTTGCCATTTCTGTTACCATCCCAATAGTCTTTTCATTTTATCCTCTGTTTCTTTCATGTCCTACTGTTTTCCTTACCTTTGATCTTCCTATTTTATATCAAGCACTACTTTTTAATAATCCGACTTGATTGGGTTTACATGTAGGATTTAAATGTAGTGTTTAGTACTTCCTGTTCGTCACTTTGCTTAGAGATTGTTTACTACACAGGAATGCTATATTGTTTGCAGCCATTCATTTAAATTTTCAGGAGATGCATATTAGTTGTCTACACACCTGAATGATATGCTCCCTCTTTCCCAAGTTAATCCTCATGTTTTAATTTGGTGTGCCTATTAAGATAAAATTTTGTGGTTGGGATTTATTTAGAAAGGGAAAAGCAATGTCAGCCACACAATTCTTTCCTTATTTGAAAGGAAACATAATGATTATTATGGGATGGACCGTAATGAAAAGTAGGAAGATAAATTTGTGGAGGGAGTAAACTCACATGCATACCAACATGTTATCATTTGAAGGTATATACTTTATTGTTGTATGTATACTATATTATGTTGTTGTTCTGCACATCATCTATATTTGTTCTTTGCCAGTGAGTTTTTGGTTGATCTCATGGGTGCACCCGGGACACTTATACCAGCTGAAGTTCTAGGTGCAAAGGATACTTGTTTCAAGCCATATAATAAGCTTCCCAATGCCCGCTCAACCAGTGGCTCCAGGCTCGACTCCTTGGATGATAGAAAATATGCTACTGGACATGATATTTTAACTGTCACGAGACCAGTAAGGCCAGAATCAAATCCATTGTTTTCCGAGGCAAGTGTTGGTGCAGGTTCACCAGGATTAAGTAGTAAAGGTTCTCCTTCTCACCAGTTGGATCAAATCACATCATTGGTGATTGGGAAGTCCCTATACAAGGGAGGTCGTGGACCTAATGTTGCTAGTGACGGTTCAAGGGTGAATGTGAATGTTCCACATAGTGATGACCCAAAAAATCTTTTTGCTGATCTCAACCCCTTTCAAATAAAAGGGTCTGGCGTGGTTCAGAATAACCCTTCTAGAACCGCAGGCAGTCGGGTGCAGTTTTCAAAAAATGTCGCAGGCAAGCCTCCTGTCCCTATGAATTGGAAAAATCGCTATGCATGCAATGAAGTTCCAGATGTTTTGCCAAAGATCAAACTTGATGCAAACAATTATAATGCATCAACAGTGGCTTCTTCCACCTCAGCTGTACAGCAGAAAGTTTTATTTGATACCCCTCCGATGTTGGCAACTCATTTTGAATTTAGGAAGTCTTCTGTTGAAAACAACCAGAGAAGTGATCTTGAGCAACCATATCAAATGGATGGGGACCTCCTGGAAAGTAATGATGCAGACACAACCAGAGCTCATTTTCAGGAAGTCACTCTGCAGAATAACAGCAGAAAGATCACCCAACATAAGTTCACTGGAACAGATTTGAAATTTAAGGAGCCAGTACACTCAAACACTTCAACAGGATTAAGCTTATCCCAGATTAATCAAGTATTGGATGATGTGAATGAATGTGAAATTCCATGGGAAGATCTTGTTCTTGGCGAAAGGATTGGACTAGGTAACTTTTTTATACCTGGAATGAGCAAATGGGTGCTTTCCACCATCTTCATAAATGGACTAAGGTCTGCAGTGGAACTTTAGCAATGTTAGACTATGTACTTGTATTATGAATAATCAATGTGATCTTGTTCTTGGCGAAAGGATTGGACTAGGTAACTTTTTTATACCTGGAATGAGCGAATGGGTGCTTTCCACCATCTTCATAAATGGACTAAGATCTGCAGTGGAACTTTAGCAATGTTAGACTATGTACTTGTATTATGAATAATCAATGTGATCTGCATAATGGTTTTTTCTCTGGGTAGAAGTGTTTTTTGTGGGTGAAAATAAAGCAGCATGCTTCCTGGTAGCTTTGAGAAGTCCATCACCACTGAATCCGTTTTCAATGTTCAGTTTAAGTATTTCGTGTAACTCCCATCTTTTTTGTGCCTCTTTCTTTTTGTGTTCTCATATTGTTCAGAACAGGAAGAGATGGGATAAAGCCACTTTTCAGTTCACACAGTGGCAAAGATGACATGATTAATGTACCTTTTTCCTTTACAAATTCTACACAGATAGGGTTAGAGCATATAGTTTTACATGACTTGAATGTACTATTGCTGATTTTGGGTGCAACAAGCATCATGCCTACAAAAAAAGTTTGAATGATCTACTATTGTTTCTTTTGGAAATACCTGTTTCAGTGTTTATCTATTGGCATGATTACTTTATTAGACTGCTCAATCAATATTTTTATGTATTTGCCCTATATGTATTCAGGTTCATATGGAGAGGTATACCGCGCTGATTGGAATGGCACTGTAAGATTTATATATGAAAATTGAAAAGTATATATTTAGGTTTTGGGATTCTTATTACATGATGTGATTCATCTCATACTGAAAACCTCATAATTATAATACTTTGCTTATCGTTTCTTATTCTGGGTTGTTTAAAACAATAGGAGGTTGCTGTCAAGAAGTTCCTTGACCAGGATTTCTCGGGTGCTGCTTTGGCTGAGTTTAAAAGAGAAGTATGGGGCTCCTGTCTGCCTGCTTTTGTCTTCCTTCCAGCATATTTTTCTTCTTCATACAATTCAAATATATCATATGACCATCTTTGGGCGGAGGCTATTGCCCCCCCCCCCCCGGGGAGGGGGGGGGCTTAATTCGATTTTTGTAAATTGAAGGGTGATTATTGTATTATCATATGCTATTATCTTATTACTTATTTCTTCTACCGAGTAAAATCTCAAACATATATCAAAATATACACTTTACCCTCCAAATCCTTCCCATCCAAAACCCAAATCTCAAACTGACCTTAAAAGATACTGCTCTTCATTATTTACTTATTGTCATGTCTAATCTTTCTTTTCCTCTCTTAAAAAACTATTAGAATCTAGTTCTTAATTTAAGACCATTTTAATGACAGGTGCGGATAATGCAACGTCTAAGACATCCAAATGTAGTTCTTTTCATGGGTGCAGTAACCAGACCTCCAAATCTTTCGATCATCACTGAGTTTCTTCCTCGGTATTTTCACTTTTATGCGCAATGTTCTTTAGTAGAGTTTTGTATTCGAATGATATCCTTGGAAATGTTGAATGTTGTTACCTATTCCTCAGAAACTCACTATAACTTGAAACCTAAACTACGCTTTTGAATGTTGGCTTTTAATGCATATTTATCATGATGCTCACATGACTCTCCTGATATGCTCTAAATTTAAACCTAAATTCGCCTTTGGAATGGTGGCTTTTATTGCATTTCATCATGATGCTCAAGTTATTGACAAAAAGCCATGACAGAGTCACAAATAAGTTGCATTAACAAATTTAGTTAAACCAACAAATAAGTTGCATATAATTATGCTTCATAATTTATTACAGTTGTACCTTACAAAATAAAAAGCTGTACATTTGTGAACCAAGGCTTTATTTTGGGACAAGGGGGTATTGTGTGTTTATAATACTGCTTAACAGAGATCACTAACTCGGGTTGGTATCATTATATTTCTTTTCCAGTGGAAGCTTGTTCCGGATAATTCATCGTCCTCACTCTCAAATAGATGAGAAGCGCAGAATCAAAATGGCTCTTGATGTGGTATAAGATTATTGTCCTGACCAATCTCTTTCCAAGTTTCAGACTTTCAGTCTGCTATAATTCTGTTGGCTGGCCTTCTTCAGTTCTTTAAAATTAGATGCTTTCTATGCAGGCAATGGGCATGAATTGCTTGCATACAAGCACACCAACTATTGTTCATCGTGATCTGAAGTCCCCGAATCTATTGGTAGATAATGATTGGAATGTCAAGGTATATATTTCAGTTTTCATATGTTGGTTTTTGTCATGCCTTGCATAATAAATAGGAGGCTGTTAGGTACAAGCAAAAATCTGGCGATGAATTGTTGATTACGAAACTGAAATTGAAGAAATAGAAAGTAACGATACAGATGAGAGCAAATTCGAGAGTGCCTCGTCTCTCCCAAGTCCCAGTCCAATCCAAGTTCTGCCTACCTTATTCTTTTCCCCTCCCTTCTATTTATACTCTCACTTATGGGCCAGCCCAAAGTTAACTAATACCTGGCCCAGGACCTCTAATATACTATTACAATTATTTAATATTATTATAATATTCTTATTATTATTTTCTTCAGCCTAGAATCCTATCATATCTCCCCCCTTGAACAACCACCTTGTCCTCAAGGTGGGTGATAGGAAACAGCCTTGACCTTCCGCTTCATCTTCATCCTTGCGCCTTTTCCTTCCCAATACATCCTGGTTTTCTAGACCTCTAACTTCAATACTTGGAGCTGCATCTTAGTGTTCTTCCCTTCAAAAGCAAGTAGAAACAAAGTCCTGATAACAGTGTGCTCCCTTAGGTTGCAAAAGTTTGAATTCCCCAGCAACTGTGTCTCTTCCCTATAGATTTCAGCCTGCATTACGTGTGTCCAGGGGATCTTAGGAATATCAGAATTTGAACCCATGGTTACAAAAATTGCAGCTCGGCAACTACATTCCAACACATAAAGCAATAATTCAAGTAAGAGTCCACCGAAAACACTGCTTTTCGCCAAAGTTAGAGACGAAAACCATGTTGCCTCATTCCCACCCTGAAAAGCTTGATGGTAGAAATGCTGAAACGGCAATCCTTGGCCCTGCTCATGCATGTATCTCAGGTTTAAACAAGGCTTGAGCATTGTCTTGTGATTTGATATGCTTATAAGCTTTTGCTGCACGTTCATAACCTCGGTCAGTATCCTGAGTTCCTGACCATAATAATATCCATCTCCAATGGGTGGAGCAGCGTGTTCATTGCCCTGCACAGAAACTTGCCACCACAAATTATCTGCTTCATCTTCTATAAAATACTTGTCGGCCAGCTTCACTTCCCTTTTAACCCCAAGCTCTTTCAGATACATAACCCCAACGTTGTAGAACCAAGCAGACTCATCATTATCAGTATCTTTGTCAAAATTCTCTTTTACCAAGATATAGTTCTTCTTCACCCCATAACCCTTCATGTAAAAGAATTCTATAGTATCATAAACGGACTCTATTGCCTTTGGGTAACTCCTCCCAACCCCTGATCCTCTTACATATATTTCTCCAAGAATTTCCCTTGCCTCGCCCAGATCAACAGCCTTACAAAACCATGATAATGCTTTGGCATGGTCACACCTCACTCCCTGAACTGCTCCTTCACTTGATAAAACAGATCTCTGAAATTTTAGTTCATGCACTCCTGGAGATTCCACAGCCAAGTGCTGGCATCCCTCTATTTGATATTTGACAAGAGACCCGTCTGTTGTTGCAAGTACAGCATCCACTTCATGATTATAAACCATGTTAACCCTGCCTCCTTTCGGCACAATTGATAGTCCTGTAACACCGTTGGTCCCAACCTTGATATTGAGAACATTTTCATCCCAGTGCCATTTAATTTCCTCAGAAATTACTCCTAAAGAATACCTCACCTCATCCATCTCTAAAACTGCAGCATTACCACAGTGTATCGGAGTTGCTGGTAGGACATTAACAACTCTAGAACTGCATCTAACAGAATGAACAACTGATATGAACTTCACCTGATGTACATACGAGTGAAATCTCAAGTAATAGAACCAACCCATAATTCGAACATCAGCACATATTATCAACAATGGCCAACTATTAGCAATTTCATGCATATTTTGCTTTGACAAAATTGGATTGGGTGAGCTTTTCATGAATCAAACAATATCATCCTGCTTGGAAACTGAATTTTGAACACCACCATGTTCTTCCACATTCCAAACCTGGAAACCATACCAACAGCATAAAAGCAAGACTTGACGATTTGTACCTACTCCAACCTTACTGGTAAGTGCCTTTCCTTTCAATCCTTCCACACCATGCTGAGGTTTGTACATAGAGCCCCCTTTTTCCTTCCATCCCCTCTTGTCTTCATCTCGGAATTTCAATACTATGCCTACCCGTTCAATGCTAAACTTTAGTGCAAATGAATTTTGAACCCATTCTGGTTGAGTCCTGTTAACTGCCTCCTTCCCCCACTGAAACCTCTTTAGTACTTTCTCTTTTGTTGCGATCACAGCAGACTCCCTCTTCGCCTCATCTGTAGTAGTTGTGACTTTTAACTGATCCTCCAGTTGCCTTGACAGTTGCTCTTCCACTTTTCCCGAAGGAAGTGCATTTTCATCCACTTCAGGCAGTTTCAATTTTTCCAGATCATGTTGCGGATATCCGATAGTTTGAGTGGCATCATCATCCGGACCTGTTTCCTGCAAAGCCGGGAGATCTGATGAAGCTGCTGGCGATGAAGATAAGCGAGGAGAAACAGATCGCGACGTAGTGGTTAGCGATTGCAAACTGGTTGAAGCTAGAGATGAAGTAAACGAACTGGGAAGTGAAGTTAGCGATTGCGAACTGGAATAAATTGGCCGACGGCATCTTGGAGGGCTCCTCGCTTTGTATCTATGTCGCTTGAGTCTGTGTCGAATTTTGCCCAACATATGGCACATCTCCTTAGCCCAATCACTTTCACCCTTTTCCGTCGGCTTCTCCTCTTTTCCGCGCGAAGCACCATAATCGGATCTTCGATGTGGTTCCTTCCCCTTTTGGGGAGACCCGCGCATCTCGCGCTTCTCCATGTCCGCACGTTCCTTTTCCTTGCTGGTGCGTTTCTCACTGTTCTATTGCTTCTCCAGTTGTCCGCCTGAATCAGAGGCGGCCAGTTTTGACCGTCGATCTTCTTTGCGCAAACCAGAGCGCTTCTCCCTGTTCGCGCGCAAACCAGATGCGACTACTTTCTGATCATCATGTTCGCGTTTCTCCACCTCGTGTTTCCTGCGCTGCTCCATTTGTTTATCACGTGAATGTAGATCGAAGATTCCCTGGGTCGACTGCTCTGATACCATTGTTAGGTACAAGCAAAAATCTGGCGATACAGATGAGAGCAAATTCGAGAGTGCCTCGTCTCTCCCAAGTCCCAGTCCAATCCAAGTTCTGCCTACCTTATTCTTTTCCCCTCCCTTCTATTTATACTCTCACTTATGGGCCAGCCCAAAGTTAACTAATACCTGGCCCAGGACCTCTAATATACTATTACAATTATTTAATATTATTATAATATTCTTATTATTATTTTCTTCAGCCTAGAATCCTATCAGAGGCGTTTGGTTCAAAGAATGTATGATTACCTTAGATAATAATCGGATTACCATTCAGAAGATAATGCATGATTACAGGAATATAAGGTTACCTTAATCTGTTTTCTTCATTGAATGTGTGTTTATGTAGCTTATTAAATTGTTAGTTTACCTTAATCTGCTTTGTTCATTGAATTTGTGTTTATGTAGTTCATTAAAATGTTAGTTTGTTAGAGACAAAGTTGGACTAGTCTAAAATATTACCAAGGTAAACTTAGAAGACCTAAGAAACCCTAGGTAAAGAGATCAATGCTATTATGTTACCTCATTTTCTTTAATTGAGGTAATCTCAATTCAACTTATAATATGACAACCTGAACCAAACAAGACGATATCACATTTATCACATTACCTTGTTAAACGGGGTGGATTCTTTCGGTTAGACTTACCCGACCTCGAGTACAGTGTTGTCGCAGGAGTGACAAAGGAAGTGTGGGTACCAACATTGGTCGCCGTTATGATGCATTCAATGGAAAGACCTATAAGCGCCGTTGCATCAGTGGCAGATCCTTAGCTCATTAAGCAATTTATTGTGGAAGGATATTAATTTCCTTTACAGCAGATTTCTGATTTATTGTTTGATTGCTTTCCATCATTAGACTAGTTAATTACTCTCCGTAGTTAAGTTGATCTGCAACTTTATTGCTTTCCATCATTAGATGAGTCTTTTTTAAGAATTGATTTAATGTAATTTCTCCTTCCTTAGTGGTTCTTGTAACCCTTACTATAAGTAGGGAGTAGGGACTCCTGCTTTGAATAATAAACAAGCCAGAATTAAGTACTTATCAAGGAGAAAGGAACTCCATAAAATTCCTAAAGTTTTATCTCCTTCCCTGTCTTCCCTTATTTTGCGTTATTACCTACAAAAATAGAGGACTTCCATCTCCCTGCCCTCACCAACCGCGGGTTGACACGATATCTAGCCTGGGAACATAACATTTTGGTTCCGTTGCGGGTCGTCGACATGGCAGAATTAAAGAAACTCCAAGAGGATCTCACCACCACAATGCAAAATGTTGACGCCCTTACTATGAATTCCTTGACCGATGCTGTGAAGAACTTTGGCAGCCTTGCCAAAGTAATGGAAACTTTCATGGAGAAAAACAACTCTACTGCTCAAGTAACCTCTTCCACAACACACACAATACCTATCTCTTCGACCGCCGTTCAGACTGAAATTAACCCTCCGACCCGATACACCAAACTGGAGTTTCCTACCTTTACGGGCACGGAGGATCCACTCGTTTGGCTACGCCGTCATGAACTTTTTTTTGAGAAAGCTCCTCATTCCGATTCTGAAAAGGCTCACACTGCCGCATACTAGATGACTGAGATTGCTCAGTTGTGGTTTACCAAACGTCTACAAGATGGTGAACAATTCTCCTGGCTCCAATTCAAGAATGCTTGCATCCTTCGCTTTGGTCCCCCGCGAAGTATTAATCCCCTGGGGGAACTTGCAAACCTTAAACAACGGGGTAAACCTATCGATGATTATTGATAGAACAATGGTGTGAATCAGAATGAAATATCAACAATCAAAGGAAATTCTACTGATAGAACAGATAGAAAGAGAAAATTTATTGATATCGGATCAACCACAGTAGAG